GGATTATAGATCATCAGTTTAAATCTGGTAGGATGGCATGCAGAAATTACAAAATTAAAAATATGAAACCATAATTTATGAAATAAAGAACAATTATGATCTAAAGGGTATCAAAATTTACAAAAAGAAAAAGCTTAATATTTATTTGTTTACTTTATTAAACATTTCTTTCAATGTAAGTTGTTTAAGTTGCTTCGTTTCATGTGATAATACTTTTTCTTTAATTCTATTAAACAGACATAATTTCTTGTTTAGTTAAAAGTTCCGCTGTTCAAGTCCTATAATTGCAATGTCAAGAATACCGACTAATTTGTCAATCGAAATTTTTTCGTTTTCAATAACCTCTGTTACTTTATTCACTATCGGAAGCGAATTATAATGACGAGGAACTTGTTTTAAATCATATCAAAGACGGAGTACATCGAGATGAAATACTACATTTAGTAAGGAATTATAAGCCAAATAAAATAAAAACACTCTGCCCTGAAGATAACGATAGTGCTGACAGATCAACTTCCAATTCATTGCGCGCCGCAGCATTCCCCCCGCCGAGCAGTGTGAAATCGATAAACAGATTTTGGATTTCGAAACATACTTTCGCTTTAGATCCTTTACATATTAGCAAATATATATCGGAAATTCTATTTGATATAATCGAAAGTTCAAGCTTACTTTTATAAAATTGCTCTAACAGTCTGCAAAAAAATAATAAGCCGGATCCAATTTGAAGATTAAGGAACAACGCAATCTGCAACATTAACTGAATTAGATAATTTTAGCTTAGCTTATACCGACCGTTATACATTAAATGCGCATGCGTAAACATTTTATGCGCTCAGGCATATTCGCAGCCGTAAAGGTCTTATACGTACACATAAACGCCTATGCGCAGAAAGTTTGTAGCTTTGAGGTCCGGATTATAGATCATTCCGGATTATGGTGTCCGCAGGGTTCGTACGTACGGTCCTTAAAAGTCCTTAATTTTGGCCAAAAGGAATAAACGATCCTTAATTTTGCTCATTTGACATTTCTTATTATTTCTAATGATTGCCATTCTAAGTGTGAATTACGATTTCTCATGAATATGGAATTAAAATTACACAGCTCTTAACTAATCTGTTGGCGGATTTGCATTGCAAACGATTAAAAAAAACAATTAGCTACCCGAACGAAAGTATCGGTGTCTGATTGGCTATTCACGCAATCTTTCGAAACAGGTGTTATCCATAAATTTAGGCAGACTGTGACGAAAGCGTGAAGCTGGAAGTTCTTTAAGAGGCGAAAGTGATGATGAAGGTGCTCGAGAAAAAAAAGGGAGGGGGGAGATTCTGAAAATATTTGCCAAAACTAGAGCAATTCCAACCTGGAAGGCCACAACCCTTCCGACGCCAATAGGAACGAGATGCCTGGAAAGTGCATTTTCAATAAACTGTGGCTTCATCAAGCTGACTACAAAGACTGGATATTGATGGATGGCAATCCTTAAATGTGGTCTTTGTCTGAAACAAATTGAAATTTCTAGAATGGGAGAGTCAGCACTGAAAATTCACATTAAAATTAAGTTTCGTTTTATCATTTCAATTTGTTTTTACACGGTTTTGCTTAGCTTAATTTCTGTGTTTGTTTCAATTAAGCCATAAATTAATTTTTTATCACCTTCTACGGAGTTTATTCTCTTTTGCACATACTATATGTATGGGATATCGGGATTATGAGTTTATTTCTGCAGAGGGTCTGTTATCGATTTCGCGGGAAATCTGTTGGCTCCATTTCGATTTTAGGTCGCCAAGGGCAAAATCGGTAACGCTAGCTGAGAAAAAGTGAAGTTCGGAAATACATTTTGAAGCTTCAATAGACAATTAAGTATTTGGTTTAAACCTATGTTTTTGATAGTAATGCATAATTTTTGCTAATGGCGATACAATTATTAGTTGAAAATAACTAATTAAAATTTTTTAAATATTTTTAAAGCTGAAAACAACTAATTGAAACTAATTTTCCTGAATTAACTAGACGCAAAATTAACTTTCATGAATTACTAAAGTTATTGGGTAGAAGTTTAACTGAAAATATACATTCCGTATATATATATATATATATATATATTTATACAGTGTACAAAGTCCGAGGTCTGGACTCGTCGGGACTTCGGCGATCCTAGATTTGAGATTTTTCCGGATATTAGATCATTTTAAATCTACTAAGATGGCACGTAGAAATTATAAAATTGAAAATATGAAATCGTGATTTATGAAATAATGAAGCATTTATGATTTAAAGGGTATCAAAATTTACCAAAGAAAAGAGCTTAATATTTATATGTTTACTTTAATAAACATTTCTTTCAATGTGAGTTGTTTGATTTGTTTTCTCTGCTAATACTTTAGACTAATACTATAGACATATAATTTCTTGTTCAGTTATTAAGTTCCATTGTTCAAGTCCTGTAATTGCTGTGTCGAGAATTCCGAATAACTTGTCAATCAAAATTTTTTCTCGTTCAGTAACCTCTCTGTTACTTTCTTCACTATCGGTAGCTGTATTTTTCTGGATTTAGAACCATACTACAGATTCCGCCCTCCGTTAATTGATTGATGATTGGGCATTGTCATTGCAATGAAAAACTTCTGTTTAACTTCGCTAAATTCTGCCGCCTGGTGCGGCCATGCGAGCTCTGGAGCTGGTTCTGGCTTTATGTGAATAACAAATCAGTTATTCTTAATTCAAATAGCACTAAATATAATCGTTTGTCCTATGAGTATCATTAACAAAATCTATTTTTAGCATAAGGAAAGAAATTTCTGCTAAATCTCCCCTTGTCAACATTTTAGCGCATTATTAAATTTAAATCTGTAATCGTATAATACTCTGTTATTTGGCATCGCTGCATGATTCATCACTCAAGTTGTCATTCGTTGATAAACATGCGGTGATGAAAGCAAAATACAATAAATAATGATTCGCGATTTCGGCATCAAGGATATAAAATATTAGTTGGTGTAAAATTAACAAATGTTTCGGTTTGAGATTATGCCAAGCAGATACGCAGCTATGGAGTCAAGTTACTAATCACACAAATTTATGCTAAAATAATTATTTCTTCAATAATGAGATATTTTATTTAGCACCAAACTAAGATTAAGAATCGGATTTCCGGCATGTTTTTTTATGATGAGGGAAAAAAATCTAATGCGCAATTGGTTGGTGGTGGCTTTGAGGTCCAGATTTTAGATCATTCCAGATATTAGATGTCCGGTCGGATCTCGGACTTATATATATATATATATATATATACATCTTTCAAAATATAACTTACCAGTATGGATTCACTCTTTTAAAATAATTCTACTTTAATTAAACTTAGGAGATAATATAATCAATTAATCTATATTGTTTAGGAAATAAATATAATTATATATATATAGTAAAAAATGTATATTTTCACTATTCAAGTATTCACTGTGACAAGTATTCTTATCTTGTCACATGAACAGGCCTCTGTGGAAAGGGGCTTCTCTGTAAATAAAGCAATTGAAATTGAAAATTTAAGTGACTCATCATACATTTTTCAACGCACAGTATTTGATTACATAAAATTTTCTGGAGGTGTTCTTAATATCGAAATTAATAAAGAAATGAGATCAGCAGCAGCTTCTGCAAGAAGTGGAGTTCGTTATTTAGAAGTTCAGTATTTAGAAGAACAAAAATCTTTAACTAAATCTGAAAATTCAAAGAGGAAAAGAAATATTATTGAAGAAGAAATTGATTATATGAAGCAGAAGAAAAACTTTCTTCAAAGGGACATTAAAGACATTAATGAAGAAGTAGATGCTTTAGCAGATAAAGCTGAGACCATCAGGAACATTGATTTGTTTATCAAAGCAAATGAACTTAGAAGAATAGTTAAAGAAAAGGAAGATTTCAGATTTAAAAAAAGCACAAATGTTTTGTATCTTTTATTGTACAGTTTATTATTCTAGTATCTTTCAAAAAACCAAGGAAATAAATTGTATGTTTACAAATCAGTTATTTTAATCTGCAAAATATTCTTACATTGTGATTATAATAGTAGTTGACTATGTTTAAATAAATATCAAATAAGTTAAATAATAATCATGTAAATCTCTAAAATAGTGACTGTTATTAGTGTAAAATACACTTATACATGTTTTTCAAAAATTATGTTCCTCATTTAATGTTATCTACTTCATAACTTGTAGGGAGTTAGTTTAATTTTCAAAATTGTTTTATGGTAAGTATTAAGTTGAATTTAATAATAGTGCATAATACACACTTCTGTTAGTTTTTTAAAGTGAAATTACAAGCATGAAGTCGGTTGTATGGATAATTGCTTTATTCTATTCATTTTTTTTTTTTTTTTTTTTTTTGTTTGTTTGCTGATAGGTCCTTAATTTTTTTCTTTGATGGTCCTTAAAAGTCCTTAATTTTCATATAAGGAAATGTGTACAAACCCTGGTCCGAATTAACGACTTTTGACTGTATATGTCCAAAGTTGCATTTTCAAGAATGGGAAACTCAAGTTAAATTTCAACAATCGACCCAGTAGAACGAAAGATGCAGAACTGTCCTTTTTTGTGTGTGTCTAAGATGTACCCAATTTCCATGCGCAGAAATAAGTGGGAACCTTGATAAACTGAATAGCAACATTTCTTTTGGTCCTAATCAATATATTCATGTAAGCATTACATTGAATAAAAAGGTTTCCAAAGATCTTCATATCGCTTCATTGATATATCGGTGTGACGGTTAAAATTGTCAAGTATCAACGTATCTGTACTTGTCAATTCGTAGGGAAAAAATCTTGAAATACATGAAGATTATGCATAGTTTTATTTATAACAAATTCAGGTGAATGCATTTTTGTGATTGAACATGATATAAAGTCCTCTTTTAATGCACATGAGTTGGAAAAAATTCAGTAACAAACAATTTGTTGTGATTATTTGTGTATATAAAAAAGTAAAATTTTTTTCCCCCAGCATCCAGATCAGAGTGACATTCCATTGTCAGGTAAAGAAAAGAAATTTAAAGGATACTATAAGATAGCACGGCATTATGGATGGGCCTTAAATCAGACTTTTTTCCATTTTAATTATAAAACTGTAATTATAGTAGAAGGTAAGTAATTTCTGATTGAATTACTTGTATTCTACAATTTTCAGATTTATTATGATTTTATTTTATTATCTATTTTAATTAAATTTATAATTTCTCTCATAATTTATATAATCTATTGTTAATACTAGTGATAATATTTATGTAACATATAGTGCATTCTTATAATATTCTTTTGTGCGACTTGTAAAAAATGTCATTATACAGTACAAAGTCTTTAATCAGGACTTTGACGATTCCGGATTAGGGGTTTTTCTGGATTATAGATCATCAATTTAAATCTGGTAAGATGGCATGCAGAAATTATACAATTAAAAATATGAAACTGCTAATTTATGAAATAAAGAGCAGTTATGATCTAAAGGGTATCAAAATTTACAAAAAAAAAAATCTTAATATTTATTTATTTACTTTATTAAACATTTCTTTCAATGTAAGTTGTTTAAGTTCCTTCGTTTTATGTGCTAATACTTTCTCTTTAATTCTATAAAACAGACATAATTTCTTGTTCAGTTACAAAGTCCTGTAATTGCCATGCCGAGAATACCAACTAACTTGTCAATCAAAATTTTTTCGTTTTCACTAACCTCTCTGTCACTTTCTTCATGCCTTTATCCATTTTTTTGCAGCAATTCCACTTTTTGTTTGATGGACATCGAAACATGCTTTTACTTTGTAGATCCTTTGGCAGCTCCAGAATTGGAAACTCTTTTTGACATAATCGAAAGTTCAAGCTTAATTTTTATAAAATTGCTCTAACAGTCTGCAAAAAATAATAAGCCGGATCCAATTAGAAGATTAAGGAACAACACAATCTGCAACATTAACTGAAATAGATAATTAGATAATTTTAACCTAGCTTATACTGTCCATTATACATTAAACGCGCATGTGTAAACACACGTTTACGCAAGCGCAAAAAATTTGTAGCTTTCAGTTCCGGATTATAGATCATTCTGGATTATGGACGTTCGGATCAAAGACTTTGTACTGTATTAGTATATAAAATTTCTCACTTTTTTCTTCTAAGGAATTGCTTATAATGCCATTCTGAAGTACTAGTTATTGATTAGGTCACATATACCTTGAGATTTCTTTTTGTTCATTTAAGGAAAATGGATTATTTTTCTTGCAATTAATAATATTTAGAGCCTAAAACTGCTTTGTATCATAATATATCGAGGAAGTAAGTTCCATTTAAAATTTCAATGTTTCTCTTTTTCACTATACCTCTTTTTATGTTTATGATTCTTTACTAAAAATATTCAAGAAAGTTTGTGTGTGTGTGTTTTGACTAGTAAATAAATCTGAAATTTATCAATAATCCTGGTTAGCAAGTATTTAAATGGGGGAAAAAATCAACACGCAAGTCGAGAAAACATAAACACAGCTTTTGTTAAATAATTACCAAATTATTTATTTTCTGTTTGCGTGAAGTAAAATAGATTTTAAATCTCTTGGGAGATATATTTAAATGGTTGCAATACTGATACATGAAAAATATTCAGGAATTGCATATTTAAACTTTCCATCTGTCGTGCAACTTTCTGCCAACTGTTTTACAATAATAGAAAAGTAAAGTTTAATTTTAATAATTACATATTTAAATTTTCTGAATGGCCAGCAAATTTCTGCCAACTATGTTAGCAATACCATAGCAATGTAAATTTGAAGTTACAACTGTGACATACATAAGTTTTCTAAATGTGGGGCAGCTTTCTGTCAACATCTGGACTATTGATACAGCATGTTAAATGCTTGCTGACTAATACAACAACAATAAGAAAATTAAATTATGAAAATTGACACACTGCAGAAACTAGAAATTTGCCAGTAAAAAGAGCTTAAATTAATACCGAGTTTTTACAAAATCAACTGAAATAGATCCACAGGATGCAGGCATGTGACTAGCAAATGTCTTACACCGAAAACCACTGGGGCTTTGATAGGTACCATGGTGTAGAATTATCTGACTCAACACCAGGAGGAAAGGTGTCTTCAAGTTCTTGAATTTTAAGAGCTACTGTATGAAGTTAGTGAACTCTGTTTGAACTCATTGATAACAAGACTGGAAGAAATTAGATTGATAACCATGAGCATACTGTCTTTTTAAATCAAGCAAGTTGCTACAGGCTGTAGCTCTCATTAAAAGGAAAAATGATGTTTGTAACTCAAAAGTGACACTACAGAGGCATAGGGGTTATTTTAGCTGCAAAATGTCCGTCAAAAATATGCTTTCTGAAAAGTTTACCCAGTCTTTAAAAGCATCAAGGCTATTGCATTCCTTCCAGTATACAAAAGGGGTGGGATTTTTCAAATGGAAAAGCCAAAAACTTGTACAAAAAAAAAAAAAAATTGATTTTTCTTCTCTGAAATTTCTCTCTTCTCTTTTAATGCCAAGCTTAGAGTAACTCTTTCCATCCAAAATTTCTCCTCAACAGGAATGGTCCTGTTTAAAAAAAGTCTGCGAGTTAGCAGCCCAGCCACAAATGCTTAAAAAAAGTATTAAAAAAGTCTAGACATTATCAGTTTAAGATATACTTAAAAGCAAATAATTCCGTACTGAATTAGCTTAAATTAAAATTTCAAGAATACCAAAATAGTAAAATTTTTATGTAAAACACTATGTATAAATTTCAGCCTCATAGATTAATGAAGATTACAAGGCTACTGGTGATAACTTTCAAGAAATCAATTAATTTACAAAATTTAAAACTTTAATTTTGTTGGAGATCATTACATCGTTAAAGAAGGTAATAGATTGGTATTATAAAATTTGCAACAGTAGTGCAAATTCTAAAGATGTAATGGTCACTTGTGTTTTATGATTATTATAGTAACTTCAATTATCATTTGTAGCTTGAGTTCTTATAAAATCAATTGGTTCTAAGTTTTTCTTGCTACTAGTAGCATTGTATTCCTCTTAATTTATAATACATTTTACTAAATAATTAACTGAGCAAATTGGCTGTTAAATTAATTGATCAACAACCTTTAATTAATCAGTTACTGTTAGGTGTAACAAAGATTTAGAATAGATTTAATATTGCACACAAAATAATTATTTTTATTATTAAAAATTATTATTAAAAAGTATTTTGTTTTTATTGAACTGTATAAATATTAAACCAGTGTTTCGTAGCCAGCATGTTGTATTACATTGGCTTTCTGCATTGTGTAGCAAAAAAATTCATGATGTACGAAATTTGTCCCAACATATTGAGCCATTAATACAAAAAATGTATGTATTTTCTTTTAAAAAAAGTGGCTGGAAATCACTACCTTAAATGACTTTTCCCAGTAAATTTTTAGCATTAATAAGATATCAGTCACACACATATTGATTTTACATATTTTTGAATGAATTGTTTGAGATGCCCAAAAAAATTGAAAATGATTAGGCTTTATATCTCTACTATAGAGAAAGTAGTCACTTTTTCTTATGAAATGTCTTTTTGAGCTCTTTTTCTTCTCCGTACTGTTATGCCATTTCCTACTATTATGTATTCTCCCATAAATCTCGCAAAGCTGATGAATTTCTACCAGTTTCATGCTCTTTGCATTTACGAAATGGATAAGTCTGCATTTCTCAGTAATAAATAGCTTCAATGCCCTTGAACATTTTAAATATGCAGAATTATGTGTCAACAAGATTTGATTTTCAAATTATGTTTATTGCATGCCAGTAGATGATAGAATTCATCTTGCAGATATTCATTCAAATCACAACACTTCTGGAGCACTATATAATAACAGATCTTACTTTCTGGATACCTCATATTGTGATAAGTATAATCTATAAAACAGTTTTAAGTAACTTTATGTATATATTATTATTTATTTAATAGTCCTTAAAACTGTGTATGATTAATTTGTTCTCCTTACCATTTTTGCTTAAGCTATTTCAATCAGTTGGTTGTGCACTTAACATTTTGCCCAAATAGTTCAAAATTAACATTTATTTTAAAGTTATTGTTGCTTTTACATTACATAATAATTAAAACAAAGCCATAATGTTTAAAAAATTTATAATTTTAAATGAAAGATTGCATATGTTTTAATTATTTAATTTTATAATTCCTTTCTTTTTCATATCAGATGATTTAGATATTGCTCCAGATTTCTTTGAATACTTTATGGCTACCCACCCCATTTTAAATAGTGATCCAACTCTTTGGTGTGTTTCTGCTTGGAATGATAATGGAAAAGATAGTTTGGTTGCGTATGAACCAGGTAAAATAATCAAAATGAGGTTGTCAACCTTTATCTTTTTATGCATAGCTACTTTGCAAGTCTACAAAGTTAGTTTAAAAAGTTTCTGTATTGTTAGATGCATTTATTTCTTTACTTAAGTTGAAATAATTGGCTTGTTCAAAAATTTCTATGCAACTTGTAAAGTGACAAACTGATGTAATGTTAATCTGGTATTATTACACTTCTATATTAAGGTATAAAATATTATGCACACATCACTTTTTCATATGTGTAAACTACTTCAGTTTGGCAGAATAAAGCACATGGGCTGTTTATTTAGCCACTGTGATTAAATTAGATTGATTTCAAATAAATCCCCCACCCCCAAAAAAAACAGAAACTATTAACTATGGTTTTTTTCATTTGTACTTTGGCATCTGAGGTTGATGGTTCAGCAAAAATCATTGAAACTAGTTCTGCAAAAATTTGCAAATATAATGCTGATTTTTGTTGTTTGACTTCTAAATTAATAATTATGACTGAGTTTAAGAGATTCTTATGATAATAAAGCTGGTAGATGATGACTATGATCTTGATTTACATTTTCATGTTCACATGATGATGATGTTTATTATTGTTGTTGTTATTATTATTATTTTGTGATGATACTGATGCTAGTGAAGTTGGTCTTGAATTTGATGAAGAGGAGGATGGCTTTCATGATAACTATGAAAGTAATGATCTTGATTTATTTCTTTATCGTGTCTGCTACTAAGATATTGTTGATGACAATGATCTTTATTTAAACTTCAATGAATATGATGTTGATTGCAGGAACATGGAGCTAGATTTTCATGAATAGAATGATGATGATGTTTGACAATTTTGAATTAACCTTTTAGGTGGCTAGCGCATCGCGCAGCAGCACCACAGGTCCGGGGTTCGATTGCTGGGCTGGGCAAAGTCGACTCAACCTTTCATCCCTTGATTTTCATCACTTGGGTCAATAAAATGAGTACCAAGTTTGCTTGGGGACTAAACACTGTGGGTCCTGCTACAAGCTGACCACTTGTTCAGGGCATATGCTTACGCACTCCGGGGCCCACGGTCAAGAAAGCGGATTTCGGGCACTGCAGGCCTTTGCCCGTTAGGGCTGTTACGCCACTGAGTTTAGTTTTTTTTAATTAACTTTTAATGATGACCATGATAAGGAAATAAGAACTAATGCTAATTAAATCTATTCATCACAGTTAAATTATGTCACTTTATTATTATTAAATTACTGTTTCATTTAACTTTTGCTAATCCTTATGATAAACTAATGTGTTATTGTTTTAGTGACTACAGAAGTAAAATTTCGATTACATACACAAAAAAATTAGAACAGACTGATTTTGAATTAATTTTAAGATGACTGCTGCTGTGTGCAATTGTTTATTTTGAAAAATGAATTTAAATGTTGTATCCATCATTATTTATGATTCTTACATTTGAAAGCTGCACTAGTGTTAACATATACTAAAGAGAATTCATGTTCCCTCTTAACCCTGAAAGCAGCCAAACTATTAGTATAATGTTTTTTTTTTTTTTTTTATGGTGATGTAGATGTTGCGTGATGAATCTTTTACAGATTGTATTTATTCAAGCATATTTGATTGGATTAATCACCATCAAGCAATACAGATGCAACTGACACAATTGCACCTCCTTCCAGAACTACAGTTACATGTCTTACATATTTATAACTTATATTGGCAATGGAAAAGAGGTGACAAATAACATCTAATCTGCATAGAGAAGCATGTAAAGAGTACCTAGGTTAACAATATTGAATAGACTAAGGATGGCATGGTTCTGCTTTTTAGGGGAGGGGAATTGGCCAAAAAACTTTACTTTGAATTTTGCCTTTGTGTAAATACATAGCTCCTGAGCATTATATAAAAGTCACGTAATGGATTAATTTTAAAATAGATGCATTTCATGAGATTTATTGTAAGCTGTTTTTAAGATTACTATTTTGAGTGTCAATATACCGGCAACACTGGTAGTTTTGCTGTTCCATCAAGCCCCCTTCCCCAAAAAAGTTAAAATAATAAATGAAAAAATTTCTCAATCTGATGTTAAATCAATCATATCTAGCTTATACTGCTCATTATACATTAAACGCGCATGCGTAAACGTATTATGCGCATGCATAAATGCTACACATGCGCAGAAGGTTTGTAGCTGTGAGGTCCGGATTATGTACATCCAGATTAAAGACTTTGTATTGTACTTGTTTTCTTCATTCTGTTCTTATAAATGTATTGGCAATATATACTAAAAGTAACCAACCAACCATTTTGAATATGTTATAAAGTAGTCTTGCAGCCAGTGTAATTTTATATTGATTTAAAGGGGACTTTACTGGAAATGTCACTCCATTAGGTGAAAATTATTCATTTGGAGGTGAGGCAACTTTGAATAAGCTTTTGTATTGTATGACTACAGTATTCATGGTGACAGTGAGTAAACAAAAATGCACTTATTTAATGGCATTTCACTTTTGAGTGAATAGACTGCAGTAACATGATTGTCCATATATGTGCAATCATTCAAAGTTCTTTTGAATTCTGTGCCATATTGTCATACACCAAGGTTGAATGTTTGGTTTTTAACATGTTCTGAATAGTTAGAATTTTTTTGGTCAGACATTGTTATTCTTTATTTATATTTTATTTAGAAGATAAATTATTTATTAATCTTTTTGATTGATTGTTCTTTATTCTTATTAAATCATCATTAAAAGAAAAAATGTATATAATATTTTTACTTTGATTGAATAATTCTTTATTTTATTTTTTTAGAATTACTGTACAGATCAGACTTCTTCCCTGGACTGGGCTGGATGTTAACAAAATCTCTTTGGAGAGAATTAGCACCAAAATGGCCCAAAGCGTTAGTTTTTCCTATTTTAAACGTATTATTCAAATGCGTAATTTTAACTATGTTTTACTATCTGTTCTTGTGTGTGTTAACTTCATCTTATGAATGTATGAATGTTATTAATTGGTATGCAAACACATTAAATTTATGTACTGTGAATTGGAACAAAGAAATATGATGGGTATTTGACTGTGCATTATTTTAAGAATTTACCTATTTCTTTATAGCAATGTTATGCTTTTTTTTAATAAATATGTACAGTGATTGCTTTGAATGTGTTATATAAAATATTTCTTTCACTGGGAGCATGTGAAAAGTTATTGGATTTTTAGATAACAAATTGTTTTAAATTTTGTAAAACCTGTCATCACTTTACCCTTGCCCTGAGTTCTTTTTATGTGTCACTGTCTTTGAAATGCATAAAATGTATAATGGGAGAATGTGAAATTACTTGAGTGTTGATGTGTGTATATTTTTTAAAGTGGGTTGAAGTTGTTCATATTCAGTGGTAATTTATAAAAGTTCATTTTACTTTAGTATAAAGTTGAATGGTTCAGTCTAAATAATCCTGTATGCACTATTGCTAGGAAGATATGCAACAAAAAGATTATTGAGAATAAAGTGAAAAACTATTCCATGGCATTAAATAAAATTTACAGGATAGGTTTATGTGGCAAATTCGGTTAAATACCAAAACGGTAATTTCTGAAAACAAAAGAAAAAGGAGGAGGGAACCAAATAATTAAAACTTATGGTTAGTGAAAATAAAAATTACTACTAATTAACAATTATTAGAGAGTTCGTGCTATAGGAATCAAAAGTAAAGTTTATAAATGTGCAGTACTCATTTCAAAGGTCAGCTCCAGAACCATCGTCATAGAGTCATAGAACCAGTCAAAAAACTATCGTCAGCTCCAGCAGTGAAAGTCATGAAAGGGAACGCTGTGCTCACATGGTACAGTGAAAACAACATACTAGAAAATTTAAGAAGGTTCCAGCAAAAAAAAAAACCTAGCTGTTGGTACCATCTGTTCATGAAAAGTGAAAATAACTTTTGAAGTAATTACTAGCAGTGTTGGGCATCAGATGATTTCTGTTTTTTTCCTAACATATGCTTTAAGCTCCTTAGTGCTGTTTTAAGGCTCTCGGAGTTTGACCAATGCATATTAAACCACACTGGCAAGGAACATTGCATATACCCAGGAGTTTATATTCAGAATGGAGTCTTAATTATGGAACTACAAATTTTATTGATAAAAGAAAAAAACAGCACAATAATTAAACTCTTTTATGTTAACAATAAAGTTTGCTATTCCATGTCGGGTCTTTGACCAATTAAATACTGCTCGTTTTATAACAAGAAGTATTTTTATTTTTGAAAAGTCATTTTGGGATATATTACTTTAACATGCAGTAATTTTAAAACAATTTCAGAGCATGCATGTAAATTAATCATCAAAGTAATAAACATAAGTCAAAAATAATTTCATAACTACCATGATGATGTTATATTTACAAATTGCATTACACTGGCAGTGAGTCATAAATGTGATATAGAATTAACGGTGGGGTACAGAAAAGACATAT